CAGCAGTATTAGACAGTGCTCGGCTACCTTTCTCTGAAAGATATCTTATTAAAAAGTCTGGGTAGAGTGGGAGAAAAATGTGAAACAAAAATCAAAACTATAAAAAAGATCAGGCTTGCTAGTCAGATAGAGATTTGTGGAACCCCCAAGACTGTGGCCCTTAGCCATCCATCAGATCTGAAAATGAACTCACCCCCATGGCTCAATTTTCAGCCAAACAATCGACACACGAAAAGAGAACACGAGGGAGGTGTGCACACCATGTGAGATCAAAAGGGCAGAATGTACCTCAGAACAAAGTCCGGATGGATTAGGAAGGGAGACATGGAAACAAAAAAACACAAGGAGGCAGTAGAATGTGGACTGGACTTGAATGGAAAGCTGTCTAATTTACATGTTAAAAAAAAAAAAAAAAACTATTAAGCTTGTCTGTTTTTGACCAGTTTCCAACTTAAGCTTGTCTGTTTTTGACCAGTTTCCAACTTATACCATTTTAGTTTTGGCACCATAACTACTGAGAACTCAAATAATCATCTCTCTTTTTTCCCAACTTTTTATTGGGAATTGAGTAAACAGATGATCAACAAGTCATAGACTGTGCTCCATCTCAATGATTTCGTCCTCTCACTGTATGTAACATCACCTATCCTGCTTTCTCCCTCTGTTGCTGGTTTCCATGGAGGACTGAGGACTGTCTTTAGAAAATGCCCCATGTGGAGATGAACGCTCCATAATACATGAACTATATTCAAGTGATCTGTTTCAAAGTCGAAGGCACCAGAAAAATATAAAAGAGCAAATGTTCAAACTCTGTTCTGACACTTCAGGAAGAAGGTGACAACACAAAGCAAATAATTACATGTTTGGACATTGTGAGAAAGTGTTAAGGACATCTTTTCTCAAAAGAACAGTTACTGGCAATTTTTAACAACAGTAAATAAATCTTCAATGGAAATAATGGTTAACTGACCAGTAGGTTAAATGGTTGTTACTGCAATTTTATAGAATAAGAATATAAATGTTGATAATGTTATTGTT